AACCGAATTCGCTACTGGCCTCCCATTAAAAAGAAGAGAAACTCACCTAGATTTCACTCCGGGCTTGACTGCCATCTTCAGTGATGGTGAGTTGTGACTGCCCTTGAGAAATATCCACTAGAAGAAACTGATGGACAAGACTTCATGGGCTCTGTTTCCAAGAGCATCTGTGTCTTTAAGACTTCACCTTCCTTTCTAGTTTATAGGCTAAGGATTTAGTATCCAAGATAAAAGTTGTTACAAAAACATTTGAATTCTCTTTTTTCTCTCTAACTCAGTCAATACACATACTGTGTACGATGACTATAAATATTCCTCTTATGGCGTTTATCTGGATGGAGGTGGCAGACTTATCAAGAACATCTACTCATCCACTGCAAGTAGTAATAGTGCTACCATTGGAAGGCTGAAAATTGCCTCACATTCCATATCTACACTATGGATAATGGATGTAGTTAGAATGATGACATTACCCAGGCAATGTGGTTGATGGTCCTCAGCGGATCATCTCACAGACACCCCCAAGTCCACTCCCTTTAGCCACCCCTAAACCACAGCTGGGGTGCTGCGTGACCTGGCTCTGGCCAACTTCGTCTAAAGCGAAGTCGGCTTGTTGCAGTCATCCCTCAATATCCCCAGGGTATTGGTTCCTAGACCCCCACAGATGCCAAAATCTGCCAACGCACAGATAAAAAATGGTGTGGTGCTTGCATGTAACCTACACACAGACTTTGGTGTACTTCAAATCATCTCTAGATTACTTATAACATCTACTACAATGTGAATGCTGTAAACACAGTTGTTATACTGTACTGTTTAGGGAATAATGGTGAGAAAAAGTGTACATGTTCAGTACAGTGCAATTTTTTTTTCTGAATGTCTTGGAGCCACAGTTAGTTGACTCCAAGGATGTGGAAGCCACAGACACAGAGGGCGGGCTGTTCTTTCCTTATAAAAGAGACAGCTGTGGCCAGCACTGCCCCTTCCCCACTTTCTCCTGCCTCCCAAGCAGGAGACCTGCAGGAACACCTGCAGATGTGGTGGGCATATCGCAACCATGAGGATAAAGCCAGCCGGCCAAGGATGCCTGGTCTCCAGGAGCACTGCTGAAAAGTCAATCATTTGCCTCAGAAACCTTATTAGTGAAAAAGACAAACTGCTATTTGTCTAAAACCCAGTAATGAGATTTTTCATTACTTCCACTGCTTCAAATACTGACGGTCTCAGATTGCCAAACATCCTTTCTTAGGGTGGTGCTTGAGGATTTCCTCTAGGAGAACAACGGAGAAAATCGAGAGAGGGGAAGTAGCGGGATCTAGACACAGGGATGGATCCCGGAGAGTTACAAAGGGGAGCCAGCTGACGCTGGGGAGGAGGCCACAGGCACCATCGGCTGAGCGAGGCAGGAAAGACACGAGGGGAGAGGGTGCCTTCTGTGCTCTGCCGCTCTCCTTACAGATCTATCAGTGGTGGAAGTGGTAACGGTAGATAATTCAAGAAGAAAATAGGAAATGTCCAGGAAAAGCAAGCAAACAAACAGAAACAGTTATAAAAATGGAAATCACAGTATTCTACTCTATTTAGCCACTAAGTGAGCAATATTTATGTGGCCATAATCAGGTAACAAGGTTTAATGCTTGTCTTCCTATAGAATCAATCTCCACTCAAGCACAGAGGTGTTAATCGTGGTCAGAGAACGACAATCGCAAAAAGTGCAGATAACAGAAGCTGTAAAAAAAAAAAAAAAAAAAAAGGGAGAAGAAAGTACAAGGAAGCTAAGAGCCTTGAAAATGGAATAAATGACCCATTACTGATAAAACCAGAAATATAAGCATAAGGATATTACTCAAAACCGCAAAGGTTACAAAGTATAGAGACACCCAACAGAGGGAATAAGAGGGAAAGCAAGAAGGTGTCGTGAGTGACGCAGCCTCTTCAATCTAGAATTTTCTCTTTAGAATTCACTATTGAATACAAATAACACAAAGGAATTTAAACCAGCATGTAATCTACATGGAATCGACTTCTTTGCTAACAGGCTTTCACATCGTTTCTCCATTCTTTAAACAGGACTTAATGGCAGCTCTGTTCTTGGTTTGTACCCTAAGAGAAAGCCCACAGATAACCTCAAATCGACGAATCAAGAAGCAGTGGTCTCAGCATGTCATCTACAGAGAAGGAGACACCCTTTGGAAGAACTAGAAATGGAAACAGGGAAAGGAGGTGCCTTTGGTCACAGATTCTCAGCAGAGAAAGTGTGGGGCTGGGAACTATTTTATTCATCATAAACCTTCTGTATTATTTTTCAAACCATGGCATATACTAATTTGGTAAAAATAAATATTTATAAAAGAAGACTGAAAGCGGAGAGACTTGAATATTATCCTTAATTTTTAAATTACAAAGAAATATGACACAATGACAAATATAAGCAGGATTACTGAGTGACGGAGATGCCATTTTCTGGCTCTGATGGTCTGATGTGTGTGCAACACTGTATCTGTGCTTTGATGAAGTCCTCTTCTACTCTACCTACGGCACTCCTGAGAGAGAAGCACACGATAAATAAACCTCCTGGTCCCAGGACAAGCACTGTGCCACTAAGAATATGAAAGCTGATCATCATCTCTTAACATGTATGTCACTCATGTTTGTGTTAATGTTTATTATTTGGAGGCTTTCTGGTTCAAATAACCATTTTCTTGCATTACATTTAATCAATTCTTTAACACTAGAACAAATCATTCACCTGTCAATTTCTTTCAGCTCACATGTCATACAATAGAAAGTATTAAAACGTATTGTAAATTTACAAAGAACTTGACCAGCTGTAAAGAGGCAAAAAATATTTTAAAAGAAAAACCCTAACAGGCTGCACAGGACTGCTGTTTCTCTAGCAGATAGTAAAATGACTAAATGAACATTAAGATATTAGTTAGGAGCTAATTTTACCATTTTAATTTCCACTGTTTATGTAAGAGACCAAGTGAACAATAACCAATAATAGTAAGTGTAATAGAAACACACAAGACTGATCTACATTGTAATTAAAGAAGGAAGATAAAAATCAGAGCTAATTAAAGACATACGGTATCGCATTGCCTTGCCATCTATTTGCCAACTCGGTTAACATATTTTTCATCTGATCTCTTTCGTGTGGAATGAGTCAATTAAACATTTTTTTTTCCCCTAAAAAAAGATGCATGGGAATGTTTTCTGTTACACTTGATGAAACGAACAGTGTCTTAGGCGGATTAATCCCTGGCAACATACAGCGAGCACACACGGTACTGCTGGAGCACATGCTCAGAGCGCTGGGATGCAAACATTTGATATTATGCATGAGCTGGAGGTGCTGGTCTTCTGCTGAAAGGGGAGCGGGTCTCTATTTAACATGTTTTAATTAACTAAGGCTGATGGATTGGTCTTTCCCTTAGCCACTCTACAGCCCATAAATCTGGTGAACTCAGGAAGGATTCTGTGGCATTTTTATTTACATATTATAAATGTAAAAATCTGCCTCTTTTTTTTTTGGCAATATTTATTACTTGATGCAAGGAAAAATAAATTACCTCTCAATGCTTTGAGTTCCTTAATGCTCATTAGATAACCTATCCCCTGGGTAAACCAAGATGAAATGCCTAAAAGCAAGGGAAAAAATTTGATCATACAAACCTTGATCTTTCTTTCCCTCATCACAGAAAACAAACAAACGTGTTGCAGGTGGACCCTTTTTCACGGACAAAGCACATTATATTTATCACTCTTTTGCACTGTCTCACATAAAGACTTAACAAATATAAAATATTCAACTCTACACACATTAACATGAAAGTCTACCAAACAGAATTTCAAATTTTGTTGCCGATTGTTTCAGCACTTTCCTCTGATGAAATGTGAAAACATAATACATTAAAATGGAATATACTCAAAAAGGCTTGAGGAAACATACTCAAGACCATTTTTGCTCCTAAATTGAGAATTTCTTATACTGCAACCAGTCAGAACTCATGACCCCCTGGAGGCTGCAAAAGGTTTCGTTCTGACACTCTCGTGCAGGCCACAAGATGGAGGCCTCTTAATTGAAACTGCCTCTTCAATTTGTCCTCAGAATTCACTGTTTAATTCAAACATCAAATATTAATTAAAACAACCAAGCGAAATGTCTCTTCATTATCAGAGCGGTGCAGAGGTTCTCCGCTTTTTGAAGTGGGAGCTACCAATGGCAGCTGTTTTCGTTTGTTTTCTATCATTTTAGCTTAGTGGTTGTTGCGGATTTTTTTTTTTTAACACAACAGAAAAAGAAACTGGGGCAGTAACAAAGGCACTGGTGGAAGTGAAGACCGTGGAACTGAAGCTGTGGGTCCACGTCTCCTAAAATAAACGTGTCTGCTTTATTTTCACATTTATCTTGGAGGCAGAGACTGTTGGGGCACAAATCAACCCTATTAATGTTATCAATTGATGTTTGGATTAAAAACGACATTGAGTAAAATGAGATGTAAAAATAAGCCTGTTAAGTTTGTACTGGGCTGGGCACAGTGGCTCAAGCCTGTAATCCCAGAACTTTGCAGGCTGAGGCACATGCATTGCTTGAGCTCAGGAGTTTGAAACCAGCCTGAGAAACATGGCGAAACCCCACCTCTACAAAAACTACAAAAATTAGCTAGGCGTGGCGGCATGGCGTGTGCACCTGTAGTCTCAACCTCTCGGAAGGCTGAGAAGGGAAGATTGCTTGGGCTCAGGTGACAGACGCTGCAGTGCCTGGAGATGGCACCACCGCACTCCAGCCTGGGCTGTAACAGAACATGTTTCAAAAATAAAAGTGTGCTGAGTGCCTCCCTAGCTCCCGGTATTGAATATGCCATCCTGCCCTTGGCATTCTGAGCCCTGCTCCATTCAGAGAATGTCCAACACCTCCCAACCTCCCCACCCAAACCCCACCCCCAGGGAAAACAAAAGCAAACCCAGCACCGCTCTCCGAGCACCAGAGCGCTCACCTCCAGCTCCTGCTCCCGCTGTAGTGCGAACTGCTTGAAGGACTTGACGATCAAGCCAGCGTTGGAGCAGTCATAGACGAAGATCGACGGGCTGCCCATCCATGTCTGCAGGTCATATATGGACAGAGGGATGTACTGCGTGTAGTTCTAGAAAACACACAAAGTGCGTGCGTTACATGTGCATCTCAGGAATACGGGCTGCTGGTGAGTACTGCATGTCACAAAAGGCACACACATTGAGCCTGGTTGCTGGAGAGACGCTGAGTCCTTTATACAAAACGATAAAAACAGTAAACCGGCCAGGTGCAGTGGCTCACACCTGTAATCCCAGCACTTTGGGAGGCTGAGGCGGGCGGATCACCTGAGGTCAGGAGTTCGAGACCAGCCTGACCAACATGGTGAAACCCACTCTCTACGAAAAATACAAAATTAGCCAGACGTGGTGAAGGGCGCCTATAAACCCAGCAACTTGGGAAGCTGAGGCAGGAGAATCACTTGAACCCGGGAGGCGGAGGTTACAGTGAGCCAAGATTGCACCATTGTACTCAAGCCTGGGCGACAGAGCGAGACTCAGTCTCCAAAAACAAAAACCAAAACCATCAAACTGAACTTCTCCACATCTCCTCAGATGCTGCTTTACTCCAGTAGTGCCCGCACCAGGTGGCTGCCGAAGTCATCATCCCGAGCCCCAGGCTCCTCCGCAGCTGCCGCTGGGTTCAGCTGCTGGTCAACTCCTTAAACTTGTCTCAGTTGCCACTGCGGGGCCTCCCTGCATGGACCCCACAGCCCAGTTCCCACCGTGGGACCTCCCTCCATGGACCCCACAGCTGTCTCAGTTCCACCGTGGGGACCTCCCTCCATGGACCCCACAGCTGTCTCAGTTCCCCACGTGGGACCTCCCTCCATGGACCCCTGGCTGTCTCAGTTCCCACCGTGGGACCTCCCCACAGCTGTCTCAGTTCCCACCGTGGGACCTCCCTCCATGGACCCACAGCTGCCTCAGTTTCCACCTCGGGACCTCCCTCCACGGATCCACAGCTGTCTCAGTTCCCACCGTGGGACCTCCCTCCATAGGTCTCACAGCTGTCTGAGTTCCCACTGCAGGGCCTCCCTCCACGGATCCACAGCTGTCTCAGTTCCCACCATGGGACCTCCCTCCATAGGTCTCACATCTGTCTGAGTTCCCACTGCAGGGCCTCCCTCCATATATCCACAGCTGCCTCACACATGTGCTCATCACTCCATGTCTCCATTTGTCCTTTTACTCTGTCTCATCTCTGTGTTTATATAACACAACACACACCTCATTTACAAGGGAGGGGAGCTCTGAAGAGTTGGTCAGGTCCTCCAATTTGCATGCCACTGTCCCTTTAATTTCCGAGAGGCCCATAAGCACTTTGTCATTGAGATGACTTCTGAAAGATCATACTTAAGGGGTATAAGTGGGTTTGGCTGTATAAATGTATTTCAGTCGCAGAACAATAACCTACTAACACTAATCCGCTAAGTGAAACATTTTTCCGAACACACTGTACTGTTCAGCCCTTGAACAGACACTAGTGATTCTGTAAATGCAGAGAAGAATGTTCTCATCTCACCTGAGAAACACTTACAATCCGCACACAAAGCTAACACTTTTAAGGAATTCTCCACAGAACACGTTCATTATTTACCTTTCCTTGGACATCAAGAGTGTGAGTAGTGAAGCTGTGGCAGAAATCAAATTCCCAGAAATCGGCAAAAATCAAACCCCCAGCAAAAGTGAGCTTGTTTCTTAGCAGCTAAGCCACACATCCTGCCGCTAGCACTGCCTGGATTGTTTATAACTCAAGAGAAAAGGGACAGAAGGCCAGAAGATCAAGCAAAGCCTGGGGAAGTATGGCACAGAGGCAGCCTGCAGAAGCTTTGTCCGTGCACAGCAAAGAAGCAGACAAAAGTTACATTTCAGACATGAGCTACATCTCAGACCTAAGTCGTATCTCAGACGTGAGGACGCAGGATACCAACAGCCCAGGTGTGTGCGGGGTGTGTGGAGACATGTACGTCACGGGCAGCACCCCACTCTACCGAAAATGTTGTTAAACTGTCTGCGTTTGCTGGCTGCTTATAAGCACCACTGTAACAGAACACCTGGAAATGCTCTCTGTAAACAGACCCACTGAAGGATTTGAGAGATGTCAGTTCTTGCCTAATGAATCCAAACAGTCAGTGCAAGCCTAATCAAAATATCTGCTGGTTTTTCCCATTAATGGAATTTCACAAGATGATTACAGAGTACAGAAGAGAGGAAAAAAAGCACAAGAGTAAAACAAAAATTAATAAAGAATAATGAATAGGGACTCACACTGCCAGATATTAAAGATACTATAAATCTATAGTAATTACAGGATGGTATTAGTGAGGGAGACAAACAAATCAACAGAAAAGAGAGAGCCCAGAAACAGAGACACACATGTAACTCTAACGAGGACAGTATTTTAAATCTGCAAAGAAAGAATTAACAATTCAATAAGTGATGCTGGAAACTCTAACCCACCATTTGGTATTGCTATATGACACACACACACACACACACACACACACACACACCAGAGTGGACTGAAAACCTAAATGTAAAAGCACAAAAAAATTTTCATTTATTTTGGCATATGAAAGGTCTTAATTAAGCAAGTCACAAAACCTACTAAGTCTTGAGACTGACTGATACAGTAAGATAAAAAATCTGTAATTCTAATAAAGACACATATCAGTGACTAGCAATTTTAAAGAAAGGAGGTACACAGTACATGACAGGGAAGTTTTTAGATGTGTCTCATATAAACTTCTGCTGCAGATCAACAAAGGGACGAAACAACAACAAACAGGCAAAACACACAAACAGTCCATTCACAGAAGAAAGAGGAATCATCAATGACTCTGAGTTTCATGCTCCTGATTAGAAATGCAAATTACAATGAGAATCTATCTATCTACCTATCGATCCATCCATCCATCCATCCATCCATCCATCCATCCATCCACCCATCCCTCCACCCATCCATCCATTCCACTTTTATCCAGCAAACTGGAAAGCAGGATAAAATGTGAATAATGCCCCATTGTTGAAGGATGCAGGGCACTCATTCATCAATGGTGGGAATGTAAATTAATGAAGCTTTTACAGAAGGCAATTGGGAAGTACTTATAAAAATTTTAAAGGCACATTCCTTCTGACTACTTCTAGATATCCACCCTATAGAAATACTTGCATTTGTACATGAAATGTTTTGGCTGGCAGAAAAGCTGCAAATTATCTAAATGCCAGTGTGGTAGAGACTGCTAGTCTGTATCTGATTTTATCTCTCTTCTAAAGCAGTTGTAGCTGAGCACATTGCCCAGTTTCCTTTCCAGTGAAGTCTGTCCCGCAGCCAAATTCTGGCCAGCGCGACATGGTCAGAAGTGCAGCATCCACATTCTCGGAGCATGACGTGGTCAGAGGTGCAGCATCCACGTTCTCAGAGCGTGACGTGGTCAGAGGTGCAGCGTCCACGTTCTTGGAGCATGACGTGGTCAGAAGTCCAGTGTCCACGTTCTCAGAACATGATGTGGTCATGGTCAGAGGTGCAGCGTCCACGTTCTTGGAGCATGACGTGGCCAGAGGTGCAGCATCCACGTTCTCGGAGTGTGACATGGTCAGAGGTGCAGCATCCATGTTCTCAGAGCGTGACATGGTCAGAGGTGCAGTATCCACGTTCTCGGAGCATGATGTGGTCAGAGGTGTAGCGTCCACATTCTCGGAGCATGACGTAGTCAGAAGTTAGGAGTCCACGTTCTCAGGACACGACGTGGTCATGGTCACAGGTGCAATGTCCACGTTCTTGGAGCACGATGTGATCAGAGGTGCAGCGTCCACATTCTCGGAGTGTGACATGGTCAGAGGTGTAGCGTCCACATTCTCGGAGCGTGACGTGGTCAGAGGTGCAGCGTCCACGTTCTCAGAGCATGACGTGGTCAGAGGTGCAGCGTCCACATTCTCGGAGCATGACATGGTCAGAAGCCCAGCGTCCACGTTCTCACAAGACGTGGTTATGGTCGGAGATGCAGTGTCCACGTTCTCGGAGCGTGACGTGGTCAGAAGTCTGGCGTCCGCATTCTCAGAACACGATGTGGTCATGGTCAGAGGTGCAGTGTCCACGTTCTCGGAGCGTGACGTGGTCAGAGGTGCAGCGTCCACGTTCTTGGAGCGTGACGTGGTCAGAAGTCCAGCATCCACGTTCTCACAACAAGACGTGGTCGTGGTCGGAGACGCAGTGTCCACGTTCTCGGAGCGTGACGTAGTCAGAAGTCTGGCGTCCACATTCTCAGAACATGATGTGGTCATGGTCAGAGGTGCAGTGTCCACGTTCTCGGAGTGTGACGTGGTCAGAGGTGCAGTGTCCACGTTCTCGGAGCGTGATGTGGTCAGAAGTCCAGCGTCCACGTTCTTGGAGCGTGACGTGGTCAGAGGTGCAGCGTCCACGTTCTCGGAGCATGACGTGGTCAGAGGTGCAGCGTCCATGTTCTTGGAGCGTGACGTGGTCAGAAGTGCACTTCACCACGCTTCCTCCTGGGGTCAGAGCTTGCAGACTGCACTCACAAGTCCCCAGGGGTGGGAGGAAGTGTGCTCCTCTCCTCCCCCACCCACTTCCATGCTGCTGCCAGGGGAAAGAAGGGCCAAAAGACGTCCTTCAATTGGGCAGGGTCACCTCCCACGCTGACAGGAGAAAGGATTTTGGCAGCAGCCTGGGAAATGGGTTCATCTTCCTACCCCCAGAACACTGTGTGCTATTTATTTACCTCCTATAATGTTCTGGGCTTAGCGAACAGCATCTGAATACAACTTGCCCAGCCCTGACCCTACAGCCACCTGACCCTCCAGCCATCTCACAATGTCCTCTGAGCCACTATCAGTGAAACGGGGGCTGCTGTCATCTTTACTACCTTCTAGGTACAAGTCTGAGGGTCCCAAGGCTGCAAAGTGCCATGAGATGAAAGACACTTTAACACACCATGTTCTCAGGTCCTGCTTTTTGAGCTGAAATCTATTTCCCACATTTGCCAAAATCAAAATCTCCATTTTAAATGTCTGAGGTGCAAAGTTCAGAAAGATGATCCGTCGTGACCACGAG